ATTGTATCACATGGGAAGCTACAAAGAGAAAATGGAGAGATATATGTAGAATGTTTAACAGCGATGCTCAGGCTTCGGTACCTTACCTTTTCCTGACGTATTACACACACAGCTTTCCTAACTATGGCAGCAAAGCACATCTCTGGTTATCATTTACATAGAAAAAACGAGCTCCAGTGGAAATGCCCCAGAATATGAAGATCACTGACTGTGATGGCCTGCCTGTGGTAAAACTCAGAAACCTTTGGGAGACATTTTCTAGTTGTGTCAGGTTTATGGTGACCGAAGAAGAGTTGGAATAGAAAATCCCTAAACTACAAGTAATCTTCTACTTATGCAAATTAGGTAAGGATAAACATTCACATTAACACACAAAGCATATATACAAACAAGATTTTCTTAAATACATTAGAACGTGTTCATTTAAAAGACTTATTTGAAAAAAAACAAGAATTTTTTAAAAGGTTGCTATTTGACATTGTCACTCTGATTGCATATATATTCATTTCATTCATGTGACAAATGCTTACTAAGTTCAGGGCACTGTGTTAGCATTGGACATATGGTGATACACAAAACAGCAATTTTTTTTCCCTTCAAAATCAGTTTTGAATCCATGAGTAGAATAAGTCACATTATTTACTGATGAATATACATCACTAAAAGAATTAAAGTCTGGGCCAGGTGTGGTGACTCATACCTGTAATCCTAGCACTTTGGGAGGCTGAGGTGGGTGGATCACTCGAGGTCAGGAGTTTGAGACTAGACTGGCCAACGTGGTGAAACCCCATCTCTACTAAAAGTACAAAATTAGCCATGCATTGTGGTGTATGCCTGTAATCCCAGCTACTCGGGAGGCTGAGGCAGGAGAATCGACTGAACCCTGGAGGCGGAGGTTGCAGTGAGCCGAGATTGCACCACTGCACTCCAACCTGGGCGACAAAGTGAGACTCTATCTCAGAAAACAAAACAAAACAAAAAAAAAGGATTCAAGTCTGGCTAAAGTTTAAGCTCATCATAAAACCCAGATCCCACCAACTAGGAGGAAATATTAAACTATGCATGTCTTGGACAATCTACATAGTTAGCCGAGGAGAGCTTTCCTAACACAATAAAAATGCCTTTGGACTATGTCTGTAGCCCCCTCAGTAGAGTGTCTCACATTTCCTGAGTCTGATCACTGTTAATTATGATGATAAGAAAAAGATTTCCTTTTTTTAGAATTGGAAAAAATCCTACCCAAATAATTTTTGGAAGCTTGAGATTACATTATTTATCTGGTTCAGGTTTTAAAAATATTTCTAATTTTTTCTGCCAAAATCCAAGCCCTCTTTTCTCATACAGAACAACCTAAATTTCTAAAACAGTTCTTCCCTTGACATTACTTGGGAGGTGGGCATTATTTTACCAGAAAAGTAAACAAGGGAATAAAAACAAGGTGACTCAAAGGATGAGGAAGTATATTTTTCTAGAGAACAAAAGATCCTTTCACAGTACGTCAAAGACTTAACTGTGAACTTTCCTGAATGTAAACACTGTTCAAATGGCAAAAGGAATTTCATCTATGTCTATAAAAGGTCCTGCACAATAGCTCTTGCTTGAAGCTACTTTTGACGGACAGTAAAATAATCTTTTTTTCAAATAGACCTACGAAAACTTCTTCATCTTCTCAGGAGACATACAATTATAATTATTTTCATAACAGCAACAATAACACATGGAGCACAGTACTGCTAAAGGCAATTCACATCATAAATTATAAGCAGCATCATTTATGCTTATAGTCTTCAGGAATAAAGAAATGCTTTAAGAGTTTAAAATATTAGGCTGATCCCTTCCATTTAGCATAAGAGTTTTCTGGGCATGCTGGCTCACACGTGTAATCCCAGTATTTTGGGAGGCCAAGGTGGGTGGATCACCTGAGGTCAGTAGTAGAGGACCAGCCTGACCAACATGGTAAAACCTGTCTCTACTAAAAATACAAAAATTAGCTGGGTGTGGTGGGAGGTGCCTGTAATCGCAGATACTTTGGAGGCTGAGACAGGAGAATCGCTCAAGCCCGGGAGGTGGAGACTGAAGTGAGCTGAGTTTGCGCCTCTGCAATTTCAGCCTGGGCGAGGGAGCAAGACTCCATCTCAAACAAACAAACAAACAAAAACAACAGCTTATAGGGGCTGGGCTGGTGGCTCACAGGTGTAATCCCAGCACTTTGGTTGGGAGGCCAAGGTGGGCAGATTACATAAGGCCAGGAGTTTGATACCAGCCTGGCCAACATGGGGAAACCTTGTCTCTACTAAAAATACAAAAATTAGCCAGGCGTGGTGAGGTGTGCCTGTAATCCCAGCTATTTGGGAGGCTATGGCACGAGAATCCCTTGAACCCGGGAGGCGGAGGTTGCAGTGAGCTGACATCGTGCCACTGCACTCCAGCCTGGGTGACAGAGCGAGACTCCACCTCAAAAACAACAACAACAACAGCAACAACAACAACAAACATAGGCTAGTAGATTTCTTTAAACAGCTTTTGTTATGATTACAGAAAAGGAATATTAATATTTTAAACCAAAAGGAATTATGAGATATCAGTTAGCTAAAATATTTAACTTTTCCTACTTTAAAGTTTTACTCTTTATAAACTTCCTAGTTTTAATACGTTTAAAATGAACACCAGTAATTATTTAATTATAAGAATATGTCCTATATTAAAATGCAAAGGAATAAGTAGGTTTATTTGTTGCCTGACTATAATTCATAGATGAACAATAATAATATTAATAATACTATCTGTATTTCTGATGAAGCAGTTTTACTTTGTATTTCTTTGTGAATAATTTTGATTAGAGCAGATTTTTTCCATTAGTATTTTGAGTATTGCTAATTTTTGTTTAGTACTGTTAGTATTTATCATAAGTTTACTGTTTTTTCCTTTTATTTCCAAAGGTTTGTTGTTGGGGGCTGGGGGGAATGTTATTTTTTCTACTGAAATGCACTTCTAACTTTATAATATCTAACTTTATTAATGGTGAAACAGAATTCACTTCTAGTACAAAATGTAAGCCACAGGATTTCAGAGTTGGACGAAAATATGCTGGATACTTTAGGCCCACATTCAGCCTCACATCTGAGAAGGACAGCATTCCACCACCAGGGATAGCTTGCACAAGTTAGGTACAAATTTAAATGATCACTGCAACATGTGTTGTGCCTTTACAAAACTGGTTGGAACAGGAAATAATCTAATTCCTTGGACTGTTCTAATTTATATAAGTTATGAAGGTAGTATTAGCCCCTTCCCTTCAAAGAAGGGTCATTATACATGCTCAACAATTTTTCTAAAATTTAAAGTTTAATTCAGTAGCTCTTTATAAATTTTAAAATTAGTTTACCATACAATCTTTAATGTAATCTATAATAGATAATAAATAGGAGAAATCTATAATCCTTCTCATATTATTGTACAGATTTATTATTGTAAATAATGATAGTGTGTACTTATATGCTGCTTTAAGGTTCACAAAGTGCTTGAACATGTTATCTCATTTGGGTTTTACAACAATCCTGTGACATAGCTGCTAGTTAGCTCCGTTTTACAGACGGGGAAATGGAGCTTCAGAGAGGTTAAATGATCACCTAAGATCACTGTATAGAACTGGGAATCAAACTTGGTTTTGGCTACCTGGTTCACAGGTGCTTATTTCATAGCCACAAACTAACAAGATATAAACATGAACCTGGGTGGGACTGATCCCTATTTGATTCTTTGCCAACCTAGGCAATAGTGAGATAGTGAACAGTGAGCTCATTTACAGTTACAAAAGATTCAGACTGGAAAACACCAAAGGATCTTCCAGCTTTATCATCCATCTGAGGGACCCCCTAAAAGCTATGAATAGCCAAACTAATTATACATCCATTTACTGATTCACTGATTCATCAATAATTTATTGGACTCTGACCAGGTATCAGTCTCTTAGGCAGGTACTGGGGGTGCCAGCCTAAGTGGGATATACATTCTGCTCTGGAGGATCTTGCCCTTCTGATACATGTCAAAGTCAGAGATCACATCATGATCAAGGCATAGGGATGCCAAGGAGGGAGGGATGTGATCTGCTGAGGGCAGAAAGGCTGAAGCCAAGGAGGGTTTAGGGAGACATTATCGTGCAGCCTTAAAGAAAGAGACACAGAAATGGGTGTGGGCACTCCAGGCAGGGGCCAACGTGAGTGAAGGCATGGGGTCTGGGAATGCCTATTTAAGGGCTGTGTGGACATCGTTTTAGCTTCATTCTTCTCATTCTTACAACCAGAGGATTTTGCTTTGTCACTCATAAAATGCGTAATAAATATAAATAGTAACCAAAACAACATGGTACTGGTATGAAAACAGATACACAGACTAATGAAATAGGTAAGAGAGGCCAGAAATAAAACCACACGCTTACAGCCATCTTATCTTCGACAAAATCAACAAAAACAAGCAACGGGGAAAGGATTTAGGATGGCTTTGGCTATTCAGGCTCTCTTTTGGTTCCATATGAATTGTAAAATAGCTTTTCCTAATTCTGTGAAAAATGACATTGGTAGTTTGATAGGAACAGCATTGCATCTGTAAATTGCTTTGGGCAGTATCTCTTTTATTTTCCTCCTTTCCTTCCCTCTGATTTCAGGAGATTCCATTTAAAAAAATTATTTTAGAGTGGATATACAATAGAGTAGAAAGCAGAGGTAGACTGCCCATCTTTCTGGCATTTGTATTCCAAACCAGGAGTTGGCAAACGTTTTCTATAAGGAGCCAGGTAGTAAATATTTTAGGTTTTAGAGGTCACATGGTCTTTGTTGCAACGACTCAACTGTGCCCTTGTAGTACAAAAGCAGCCACAGACTCATAAATGAATGAGTGTGGCTGTGTTCCAATAACACTTTATTCATAGACACTGAAATTTGAATTTCATAACATTTTCATACGTCATAAAATATAATTCTTTTTATCAACTAATTTTTCCCAACTATTAAATTTGTTTTTTTTTTTTTTTTTTTTTTTTTATCTTAGCTTGCGTGCCTTACAAAAAGAGATGGTGCAATTTGCCAGTCCCTGTTTTAATTGCTTCAGGAACCTAAGGTAGTCTTACAGAGCATGTAAGTACATTTAGCAACTCAAGAAAAGCCTGGAAGAGAATGGCACTTCATTTCTCAACCCTGCTCCGACCCTGGTGAGAGAAATGAGATCTCTCTGGATCCTGCCATCCCACAAATGTGTGTACTGTCATTACTCACAATGTGAAAAATTCTGAATTTACTGCTAAAATTTCAAATTAATGAGATTTCAGTTAAAAATCTAGATTTTGGTCTTCTCTTGAAAATGGGAGGATAAGGCCAAACGGGCCATATTCTCACATGGCAACAGCTAGGTAGTGACTGCCTTCCTACATGGGGCACCACTTCCTGTTCACCTGAGATCCTGCTGGCCTGTGTCCCCAACCACATTGCTTATCTGAAACCGATAAGAATTTAGTCTAAATTCTGCTAGGCAGAGACATCTGTTTTCTTCTCTAAGGGCACAACTTCCATTAAAACTAATCTTTTGGCCGGGCGTGGTGGCTCAAGCCTGTAATCTCAGCACTTTGGGAGGCCGAGGCGGGTGGATCACGAGGTCAAGAGATCGAGACCATCCTGGTCAACATGGTGAAACCCCGTCTCTACTAAAAATACAAAAAACATTAGCTGGGCATGGTGGTGCGTGCCTGTAATCCCAGCTACTCAGGAGGCTGAGGCAGGAGAATTGCCTGAACCCAGGAGGCGGAGGTTGCGGTGAGCCGAGATTGCGCCATTGCACTCCAGCCTGGGTAACAAGAGTGAAACTCCGTCTCAAAAAAAAAAAAAAACAAAAAAACCTAATCTTTTGGTCCTAGGGAAGCCACGTGGGGAAGAGGAATACAAACATAGGCTTCTGAGTTAGAGAAACCTAGGCTGAAATCTCAGTTTTGTTCTTTGCTAGCAGAATGAGCCTGGGCAAATTATTTACCCCTAACCTCAGAATGGGAGCAATTATATATACACCTGAATGGTGGTTGTAATGATCATGTGAGAGAATGTATTAGAAGCAGCTAGCACATGCTTAGCAGTTAATTAAAAAAAGAATCACTAGGATGGAGAAGTTCTTTGATGTGTATGTTTTACTTTTAGACCCTCTATTCATTGTTGCCTTTTGTGGAAGGACCTGAAGGATCAGCTTACAATCTACCTCATTTTATAAAAAAAGAAATTAAGGCCCAGAGAGGTGAAGTGACTACTTAAAGCCACACACTAGTGGTGGAACCAGGAAGAAGATTTGGATTTCTTAATTTTTAGTCAGAGGAAATTTCTCTGTGCTACAATACCTCAGTAAACTTTCTGAATTCTTTCATAAAAGCCTTTTACTTGATAGCCAAAAGATCGTCTAATAGAAATGGCATTGACTCAAGATTTCTGGCTAGCCTAGTGGCTATGCTTTTAAATTATAACTTCCAAAGATAGTGAAATGATAAGGATGTGTCATTAGTTGTTGAAGTTCTAATATTTATTTGAAATACTCCTGTTCTAAGCTCACCAACACCCTCCTGTGGTCAGTGGAAATAAGTCCAGTCAAACAAACAAGAAAAATCTGGAGCTATTTAAAGTTAATGGTTAAATGTAACAAGATAGATAGATATCAAATAACATAATAAAAATTCACTCTAATTACATTATTTAAGGTCCTGGAGATTTCACAGAGGAAAGATTACTTGTCTATCTCTGACCAAATCTTTAAAGAGATTGATAGATTATAATGGATGTTTTCCTTAGAGCTTGTTCACAATAAAACTGCCTGTTATAAATTAACGCACAAAAATTAGTTGCATTTCTATAGACCAAGAACATTCAAGCTGAAGGCCAAACCAATCCCATTCACAACAGCCACAAACCGAATAAAATATCTAAGAATACAGCTAACCAGGGAGATAAAAGATCTTTACAAATTACAGAATTACAAAATACTGCTGAAAGAAAACAGACACAAATAAAAAAAATCATTTCATGCTCATGGATAGGAAGAATCAGTACTGTTAAAATGGCCACAAAGCAATTTATAGATTCAATGCTATTCCTATTAAATTACCATTGACATTCTTCACAGAAGTAGGAAAAATTATTTTACCATTCATATGGAACCAAAAAAGAGCTTGAATAGCCAAAGCAATCCTAAGTAAAAAGAACAAAGCTGGAGGCATCACATTACCCAACTTCAAACTATACTCCAAGGCTACAGTAACCAAAATAGCATGGTACTTACTAGTATGCCTAGGACACATGGACCAATGGAACAGAATATGTCTATTAATGGTATGCCTAAGACATATAGACCAACGGAACAGAGAACCCAGAAATAAAGTTGCATACTTATAGCCATCTGATCCTTGACAAAGTCAACAAAAACAAGCAATGGGGAAAGGACTCTCTATTCAATAAGTGGTGCAGGGATAAATAGCTAGTCATATGCAGAAGAAGATTGAAATTGGACCTCTTCCTTTCACTAGATACAGAAATAAACTCAAGATGGATTAAAGAGTTAAATCTAAGACCCAAAGCTATAAAAACCTAGAAGAAACTAGGAAATACCATTCCGGACATCAGCTTTGGCAAAGAATTTATGACTAGGTCCCCAAAAGCAATTGCAACAAAAACAAAAATTGACTCATACACACACACACACACACACACACACACACACACACACACACAGGGAGAAGAGAACGCATTCTGTTACCTTAGAATCCCAACTAACAAATGTAGAAGGAATACTGGAATCAGAAAAGTCACCACTTTGCAACTACAGTGATAATAACTGATTCAAGTAAGTATCATGAATGGATGATAAAACTAATGGATGAAAGTTTGATAAAACAAGATTTACATTGTCTTCAAATACATACCCACAAAACACATGTATTAATTATAAAGAAAAATTAATAATAACGTCACAGTGGAGATATCACCTTAACCAAAGGTTCAAAATTAACATCACCAGCAATGGGACAAATTGACATCATGTGTCACCTAGTAGAGTACCCAACCTTTCTGGCACCAGGAACTGGTTTCATGGAACAATTTTTCCATGAAAATCATTCCCCCTATGGGGAATGATTTTTGGAATGAAACTGTTCCACATCAGATCATCAGGCATTAGATTCTCATAAGGAGTGCAAAACCTAGACCCCTCATATGCGCAGTTCACTCAAGAGGGTTTGCACTTCTGATAATCTAATGCTGCTGGTAAGCTGCTGATCTGACAGGAGGCAGTGCTCAGGTGATAATGCTCACTTGCCGGCTGCTCCCTTCCTGCTGTGCGGCCCCAGGCCCATGGCCAGGGGCACTGGGGACTCCTGATCTAAGAGGGCACATTGAGAACACAGCACTATTGTGATGTGCCTGCCAATGATGCATAAGCTGGATCTAAAAATAGAAAACAACAGATGAACCCAAATTGTGGGATGTTCTGTAAGATCACCGGCCTATAGTCTTCAAAAATGTCAACCTCATGAAAGTCAAGGAAAGATGATGAACTGTTCAGATTGAAAGACATCAAAGAGACATGTCAAGTAAATGCAACACATGATCCTCAATTGCTTCCTTTTCCTATAAAGGATGTTATTGAGACATCTGAAATTTGAATAAGGTCTGTAGATCAGACATTAATGCTGTTATCAATGTTAACTTCCTGATTTTTGAGGTCTGTGTTGTGGTTATGTTAAGAGAACCCTTGTGAGGAAATACTGAAGGTTTTTGTTTTGTTTTGTTTTTGAGACAGAATCTTGCTCTGTGGCCCAAGCTGGAGTGTGGCATGATCTCAGTTCACTGCAACCTCCGCCCCCTGGGTTCAAGCAATTCTCCTGCCTCAGCCTCCTGAGTAGCAGGGATAACAGATGTGCACTACCATGCTTAGCTACTTTTTGTATTTTTAGTGGAGACAGGGTTTTCCTATGTTGGCCAGACTGGTCTTGAACTCCTGACTTCAGGTGATGCACCCACCTCGGCCTCCCAACATGCTGAGATTACAGGCTGAGCCACTGTGCCCAGCCAGTATTTAGAGGTAATGGGGCATCATATCTACAACTTACTTTTAAGTGGTTCATGAAAAATAATGCAGATATTTATCTGCATATACAGAGAGACAGAGGGAAAGTAAAAGGTTTTTAAAATGTAATTATATTTTATGAAAAAATGGCTATATTATCTATATCTGGGGACAGAAATTATAAATAGAGTTTGGATTTAAGGCTCTGGATGAAATGAGTTTTTTTTTTTTCCCTATTATTTTTATTGGCAAATGCCCTTGGGGAACATATGCTCCTTTCAAACTCACCAAAGATTAGAAGATATAGTGATATCTTCTTCAGAGGTTGAAGAATCAAGACCTATCCTGTAAAGGAAATGCTATTGTAATTTTAGAAAAGCCATACTTATATAAATAAATACTGAAAATACATTGGTATAGTCTATCTATCTAAGTAAATATTTCTTAAGTTGGGCTTGGGTGAGAAGGAGAGCTATATTCAGAATCTTAAAGTACGTTCCTGTTTTATCTTGAGAGCAGTCAGAAGCCTTTCCTACCATCAAACCTGAGGCACAAAAGAGATATACATCTGATTTTTAAACTTCGAAATAATTATGGGCTACAAAAGAAATATTATTATTTTAATATCTAACGGAGTCATAATTACAATAATGTTAACTATTTATTACCGTGAAATAGTCCTTACAGATTGTGGAGAGTAACCTGAAGCAGACTGGAACACATGAACTTGTTTCTGATATTGTGTCCGATTTTTCTCTTTCTGGGCAATGACTGACATGTAAGTATGAAGGCAGAGTGGTTGAGGGAATGATGACTCACAATCAAATGAAGTGCTTTCCTCTTTGGTTTGTGCAAAACCTATTTAAGTTTCAGATTTTCCTATGTGGGCTCAACAGATGTTCTTTATGGAAAAGATTATTGAGCCCTCACCAGCAATGGGAAATATAGGCCCTTCAACAGCTTTGCGTTCCCCTCTTAAAACAAACATCCAAAAGAAAAAAAAATAATAAAAATTATCCAGTATTAGTGAACTCTTTTTCTTGGGGGACAGGGGAATTCCCACTGTAATGCTACCAGAACACTGTCAATGAAGACCTGACAAATTCCATTCAGAAACCCAGCAACTGGAAAGTCTCATATGAATTAGACTGGACTCGAGTATTTATTTCTGTTCTTTGTATAATTATAAAACCAAATGTATATTTCTGAGCTATTTATCCAAGGAATTAAATGGAAAATAAAATTAAAGGATACTATATCACTGTTGGCCTAATTGCCACATATTTGGTAAGGATCATGCTTCATGAATGCTGTGTTGAGTGCAAAACAATAAATCTACAATTCAATAACTCTGAAGTCCTGGATTCCAAGAAGTCCTAACTTAGAGGAAAGGTCATGAGCTGTATCACTTGGAAGGAGTTGGTTCTTGCTGTCAAAACTACTAAAAAATAAAAATAAAAAAAATAAATTGCATGGTCATGTTTTTTGTTTATCCAGCATTTCTTCTGGGAGGCTTCCCTCCCATCCTTATTTCCTAACTTCATATTTCAGGTGGCACCGATTCAGTATCTTCTCATTTCACAGTCTAGGAGTGGAGACATGGCCCAGGTCTGACCAATCGGAATACGCCATCCCTTTGGCCACAGTGATGGGTTCAGGTCATGTGACCTCACCAGCCAATTTAAGCACTCCTGAGGCCTTCTGCTGAAATTATAGGGAGAGACAAGCCCCTTTGGCTGAGATAGCCAGCTAGGAGAACCATATATATTACCCAGAGCTACCAGGACCATCTTTGCCACCTGATGGAGAATGACTGTGAGAATGAAGCCACACCAGAGAAAAGCAGAGCCAAGAGGAGGGAGGCTGGGTCCTGTGTGACATGTGTTGAGTGTCAGGCCCTGAGACTTCTAGGTTTCCTGAGCCAATAAATTCCCTTTTGTAGTTTGAATTAGTATGAGCTGAATTTTTGTCATTTTCTAAGTTCCGAATAAACATCATTTTACATACCTTTTGATTCCACAATAAATCTGGAATCACATGAAATAATAAATTCTCTCTTCAAAGGTACAGGGAAAAGTTATTCTTTTAAGTGGCAACTTAACCCCAGCATTTTAGATTATTCTCTGAAGTCATATATGACATGCAGCCTGGCTAGGTCATGAGTCAGGATCAGAATGAGCATAAAGGTCTTGTCATAAGAGATCTACCGGAGTAAAGAAAACCAGTAATACAGACACTGTCAACTTGCTAAAGTGTATTTTAAAGGTCAACATCGATTTGGGGTCTATTGGGTTAAACAAAGTTAAAGAGGTTTCTTTACAGACTTCTCAAAGTCAGATAATAACTAATTATAATTTCATCTCTAGGAGGCTACTAAGTTATACAGTGTTTCCTAACAGCTTGAACATGGATTTCTTTTTTTTTATGAAAAAAGTGTTCAGAAAACAAACTTTCTGAAACATTTAGCTGGGCACAATCACTCGCACCTGTAGTTCCATCTACTTGGAAGGCTGAGGCGAGAGGATTGCCTGAGCTCAGGAGTTTGAGGCCAGACTAGGCAAAATAATGAGACCCCAGTCTGAAAAAAAAAAAAAAAAAAAGAAACATTTGACTATACATGTTTCTAAAAACATAGTTTATTTGTCCTGAGCGTTTTACTTGATTGTTCCATTTTCCTTGGCATCTTGCCATTTTTATGGTTTAATCTAAAACCTCCAGGCTCAGGATCATTATATAAATATCTCTCTCACTAGCTTGAAGCTCTAGTCCCTTGTTTCAATTTCCGACTGAACACAGTCAGGATTACCTCAAACTCAGCATATGCACAATGCCTGAACCCTATCTTCTCTCCAACTTTCCTGGTTCCTCCAGTGATCTGCCTTTTTGCCAGACATGCAAACAATGTCTGCCTCCATGTCCCATACTC